AAAAAAAAAAGAAAAAAGGCATAGATCCATCATGGACTGAAACCTTTGCAACTATGAGCCAAAAGCAGTTTTTCCTCTTCATAAGTTGATTTGCTTAGGTATTTTGGCATATTAACAGAAGGCTGATGGATACACAGATATATAAATCTTTGTTCAAATCTCTGTAACAACTGGAAATGGAATTGCTGGTTTTGGTTCATTCTGATCTTAGGCTGTGGTGTGGAAACCAACTTTGTTTTCCCTTGGGTTCAATCATAAGATCTGGGAAAATACTTAGTGCTTTGGATAATGGAACGCAAATACTCAGAAAGCTCTTCTGGGGCCGGCCTGATAGCTCAGCAGACTAAAGCACTTGCTTGGGCAGAGTGCAGCGGCTGGGGTTGGATCCTCTGCCTGCAGTGCTGGCCCTGCCCCCAGGGTGCACTGAGATGGTGATTGAGACTGGGTGTGGTGGCGTGTGCCTGTAATCCCAGTGCTTGGGAGGCTGAACACAGGCAGATCACTAGAGTCTGATCTACATAGTGAGACCCTGTAGACCTGCACTAAACACATAAAAAAGAAAGCTGCTGTTTTCTTGTTAGACAGTGAAGGATGTTGCTGCACTACAGATTGAAGGCTTCTGAGTTCTGCCCCATTTTAAGCGATGATTGGCCTTCAGGGTCTTGGGAGCAAGCATTTTGCTCCTTTGCCACATCGTTACTAGAAATGCAATTTCCTCATTTATGGGATAAATAATATCTTGAAAAGAAACACTGAGGGCATTGGTAAAGAGGCCAATTTGAAGGCATTGACCCAGGAACAAGCCATAAGCCACACTTCACAACTTCATTTATTTTTTTATTTTATTTTTCACAATTTCATTTAGCTGGACATCTCTCATCCCTGGCAAAGTTATTCTGGCTGAAGAAGCCATGGTAGGACTCTCTAGTCAAAGGGAGGGGAAGTTTGCACTTGGCTTCCTCATGTTATCTCTCTGCTCTGAACCCATTCAGTAATGACATCATGTTTGCGGGGGGCGGGGTGCTACCAGGCACAGCTTCAAGTCTGAAGGTTGATGTGTTCCAGGACTTCCTAGTTTGCTAGCTGCACAGCTCAGTGGCGTGGCGCTGGGCAGCCCCGCTGGCCCTGCCTGCAGGTGGGCTGGGGCGGAAAAGACCGCTGCTGCAGGTCTGTGCAGTGGAGGGGCTCCGGTCCTTGGAGACACGCGCATCTTCCAAAGATTTAGCTGCCCTGGAAGAGTTGGGAGCTCTGACCAGTGGCAGCCTGGCAGTGTGGACTCTGCCACCAGGAAACGTGAGCTGGGCTAGTGGATGAGCCTCCCAGAAGCGATGGCGGCCCACAGAGCACCTTGGACACACTTAGTTCTTACTTCAAGCCAGCACTTTTCTAAGTCCCTCAGCACTGATTCTGTTACCTTCACCACAGCCTCACAACATAAAGATGAAAACGCTCTTCTCTTTACACCAAGCCAGTGGAAGGGAATGTAGCTGCCCCTGTCAGAGCTGCAATGGCCCTGGGTCACCATGCAAAGGCTTCAGCGAGACACGGGGAACAACAAACTAATCAAACAGTGACCACAGTGATGACCCACAGTCCAAGGAAGACATGAAAATCACATGTGCTGTGGGAAGGAGCGAGGCTCTCGGCCAACTGGTAGCATCACCCAGTGTCAGTCTTACAGGCCCCAGGAACTCTGGATGTTCTGACCATGGAGGTGAGGCCCAAGGATAGCTCTTTACTATTCATGAAGCTCTTAGCATTCTCTTCTAAATTAGAGATCAAAATCATTACAGAAGTTAAGTCGGAAAAAGCATTGGCTCCAGAAACCTTTTAGGCACACGCTGCAAATTATATGCTGTAAAGCAACAAGCGATCAGTATAATTGCTGCTTTTGCTACAGAGCATGGGACAACCTGCGTTCCCAATGCCTTAAAATAAAAAGAAATAAACGTGAAAAAAGAAGCCATGAGGTATAATGAGCTAATAGAATACATTTCTACTCTCCAGGGAGAAAACACTTTTAGTGAAATGACATTATTATGAACGTAGTTATAATTTTTTTGGAGGTCAGGGTGATGTCACTTGGTAGTGAGAAAAATTCACATATTAATTGTAAGCATTATCAACTGCTGTTTTCCCAAATCTACGCATAGATTTGCAATAGAAAAAGCACACAGGCACACACACACACACACACCCCTTCCTTTATACATTTGGAAAGAAAGCTATTATGCTTTAAATAAAGCTGAGCCCTTAAACTCATGCCTGTTTTCATTGTGGTAGTATAGTTTTATTTTTGTTCTTGTCCTTTAGGTATTCTGCCCCAGTAAACAAGTTGAATAACTGGAATAGCTACAGAAGCACTCTGTGAATACTTTCTCCAAGTGTAAATCATTGGAAGACTGTTTATATAATTCATGAAAATCTGTAGGCTTGTGTCCTGTTAATCTTGGTGAATCCATCCTACTGACAGAATCTTGCTTGGAGTCTATGCTTAAAGATCGGATTTATCCTTCAGCTTATCATGAAGAAAAAGAGAAATGAAATCGTACTTTCAGATGTATCTAATTTAGCTTCTGCACATGGTTGCCAAAGTTCAGCAGCTCTGTAGTTTTCACTCTTGAACTTGCCCAGGCTCAAGCTAAGCAGAGCAGTTCTCTCCATACAGCTCTGATGGGTTTTGATGATGTTAACATTATGATATAAAGCTTAAACTGACTCCCAGTAACTTCATTTGTTGAGCAAATTAAGGATACTCATCCTATACAAACTGGACACTACCACAATCTTTAGTATTTTAGAGTGCAACATGGGTACAAGGATTATTTTTCCTTTTAGTGCTCACCTCTATTCTGGTGCTTCTGTCACAAAACTTGTGGCTAAGTTATTTCACCACGAAGAAATGGCAAAGTGTGCTAACCTTCTTTCTGACCCACCGCTGCTGGCTGCTGAACGATTCTTTCTTTCTTTTCTTTTCTTTTTTTTCAGCACCAGGGATTGAACTCAGGACCTTGTGCTTGCCAGGCAAGCACTTATTCTACTGAGCTATCTCCCCAAGCCTGCTGAAAGAATTCTGAATCCAAGCTGTAGAGAAGGAAGCAAGCAAGGAGGCCGAGAACACACAGACATCAGATTGGAGCAGCCTCCACTGCCTGCTGAGGCTAAATGCACCGAGCCCGAGGCTAAATGCACCCGCTCCCCCTTCCCCACCGCTCTACCCCAGAGGAGTCTGCAGCACCGCTGGCCGAGGGCTACACTGCACCTTGTTCTTCCATTGTTCCTCCTAACCCGGCCCACACTACCATCCTGGTTGTGCTTCCCACAAGCAGCTGGGCTCATCTATCAAAAGAAAAATACATCCTATTTCAGTTCCTGGCCTGAATGCTTTTAATAATTTCCAAGCCCTTCACCTGGAACACACCCTGGCTCCCACCCAAGTCCGTGCCTGGGTGTGACGCCTGTCTCTTGGTGACATCACTGCCACTCTGGATTTCTGTGTATTTCCTGAAGGAAGAAAACTCTTCCCATGTGACGCCTGCCTGCCCTGCTTCTCCCCAGACCTCTGTGGATTGAGTTTTGTTTGACTGAGCAGCTCCTAATCCAAAGAGAGCTTTCCCTGAGTGGCCCGTGTAAAGGCACAGCACACCCTGCTTTTACAGCATCACTACCACGATGCTGTTTTATTTGCTTTCCGGCTTACAAATGAACGCAAAGCTTGGTCAGTGGTCAGGGGGTTGGGGTAGTTGTGGTCTCACACTCTTCTTCAGCCAAAGGTCAGCAACATTTGGCTACTGCAGCGCTAGGGAGGGTTTAGGTTGCTGTGTCCAGAGCCTGTGCGTGCTGAGTTTCTCAGCACATCTACAAACATCCTCTGGTTTGTTTGTCTGTTATTCCTAATGTGGGGACAATTAAGACAAGACCCTCGACAGAACGCAGGGGAAGCTGTCACTCACTTATAGTGGATCCAGACTCAGGTCTGTTCAGGGAGCTGATGATGACAAAGCCAAAGCCTTCATTCTCCTTGCGGTGAATGACCACATCGCTGGTCTGCAGGCTGTGGGAGGCGAAGCCCTCAGGGGGAGAGGCGTTGCTGCTGGGCGCGGCGTGGTTGCTGTTGGCGTAGGTTGCGTAGTCACTGCGTGGAGAGCTGTGGTGGGTTGATATGGAGCCTGGACTCCTCCCATTCTCTGGGCAGGGCTCCCCTGGAAGACAAGGGAGGTGTTTAACCAAGGTCTTAGTGGAGACTTCTTAAGCATCCGGGGCAGACAGTTACGCAGCTGGCTGACTGGCTCATCTTTCCTCTTGTGTGCAGGCCATTTGAAGGGTTGTGTGACCAGGCACTGTATCCCCTGTTCTTGCCCCTATTCTACTCTCTCTGAAAAGTACAGACAAAATCCCATGTTTGCTTCTGTGTTGCTACTTGTCAACTCTTGCTCTTGCTAGGACTGCAAATCCTAACAAGGAACAAGGCAAACTCTTAGATAATGAACATCTCAGTCACGTTACGATTGACCAGGGTTGATCACAAAAGAAGCAGACAGAATGGTAAACTGTACGGTACATACGAATCGCTTAAAGAGCTTATAAAAGGAATATATATATATATTTAAGGCCTACCCAGGGAAAAAATTTTCCAGTAAGACTGGTGAGGATTAGGTACAGAAATTAGGATCAAGTTTCAAGACCTTTGAGAAATGCTCCTCTTGATGTGTCTAGATGGGTAGAGTTAACAAACCTGAGGGTGTCCACACAAAGTGACCTACCATGATTTTAGGTCATACTTCTACTTGTGATATTGTGATAGCCTCGAGGCATTGCTTTACTTCATGTAGTGGGGGACACACACTCCTTATAAGTGGTCTGCATGGCTTCTGTATTGTACCATAGCTCAATAAAGTATTTTAAAATGATGAAGTGTTTTTTTCATTAAAAAAAGTTTTCTCACGTATTATCAAATCTAATAATGATAGTAGACTAAAGAACTATGAATTTTGAATTTGTATGGAGCTGTTGGAGTTTTTACTTATTTAGATTCTATATCATAAGAGCTAATCTATTAACTAGAGTCCAAATCAGCACTTCACCAGTGTTGAATGTGCATGGGGCAGAATGATACCAAGCTAGCAGCCAAGAGAAGCTATTGCCTTTGTTACTTTGTTACCGTACTCTCGTTGCTGAGATGCCCAGGATTAAAGAAGGAAAAGTTTACTTCGCTCACAGGTAGTGGAGGTTTCAGTCCACACTTGACTGGCTCCAAGGCAGAGTGGCACATGGCAGAGAGCAGCAGCGCGTGGTGGTAGAAAACAGCAAGAGCACCATAGCAAAAAGGGAGGTGTGCAAAGAATAAGCCTTTTTCCTTCCCTTACACTGTATGCAGGTTACCTGCCTTGGGGCGGGTGTAGCACTCACACCCAGCTTCACAAGCTGAAGTTGCAGCCAGCTAGAGGTAGTCTGGGTCTGCAGGCCCCTACAGGCCCTAGAAGGCCCCGTGTAACTGGCTTGGGCCCCAGGCCATGAGCTATTTGGCGGTAGGGGTCTTGTGGGAGAGCTTCTGGTCCTGGGGGTGTGTCCACAGGCTCTCTCTTTCTCTCTTGCACTCCCTGGCCATGAGACGAATGGTACTGCTTTGCCACCTTCTCCTGCAGGATGTGCCACCCCACACCTGCAGCAGCAGGACCGCTAGTCCATGAACTGAGACCTCTGAGACTGTGAGCCAAAAGAAACCTTATTTATTCATACACTGATTTGTCTCAGATATTTATTATAGTAATGGGAAGCCGATAATAATTCTAAATGAAAAGGTTGGAAATAAAGAACTAAAAGTATAAGACCTGTTCGGCTACACTGATGTCCAAAGAAGAATCTGTGTTTATTCATATTCCAATTTTGAAATTGGCCTTTCATCCATTGAAAACTTTAAAAGAGGAAATGAAATGCAAAATAATTAATTAAGTAAAAAAATGAAGAGGGCGTTACAAAAATGTATTAATTTCTTATCTGTAATTACAGAGTGAAAGAGATGCAGGCTATTGTTTTTCTTATTTGATATATTTTCTTTTTTCTAATTAATAGAGGATTTAGTAAACAAAAAGGATGCTTTTCATTTGTAAGAAATGTACAAAGGTCATGCGAAAACAAAATGTCATTGTCTAATGCTTTCCGTTTCAGAACCAGAATTTTAAATTTTTGCCTCTAAGATTCATCCTTCCTGTGAGAAACAAAACCCAGAGACAAGATGCCATTGTGTCAGTGAAGCACGTGTCCTTTATCAGTCCTTGTGCAAGTTGGAAATAAAGTGATTAGAGATAGTCTGGAAGAAGAAAAACAAACAATTATTATGCTGCTGCATTAAATTGAAAATCTCCCTGAGTTATTGGACCAAATCAGTAACTAAATGTCATAGGCAGTGACAAGAGAGACCTCATTTTCTGACTGTCCTATTTTAGGGGGTTGAGAGTGTGGTTGCCAGTAAATCGGCAACAAAGAAAAATTATCTGTCTTTGTGGTAAATGGCTGGGAGTGGCTGTGCCACCCACTCCAGAGAGAAAGGCAAGCATGGGCTGGATCAGCTCGAGTGGCTCTTTACTGCTTTTGGGCTTCTCCTGTAACCCCCAGAAGAGAGTTCTTTATCTTTATAGAATGAGTATATTTTAAATCAAAAAGTTCAAACAACTTCCCAGCTCTTCCTGGGATTGTTCTGGGTGCTTGACACTTGAAAATTGGTTCCGCGATTGCCTTGAGGGATGGAACCCACCTCCCCTCTCTGTTTCATGGCTCAGCATCCAAGCGAGACTGTCTTTTCCAACTCCTTCTGGTTGTTTCACAATAGTGCAACAAATGCCATGAAGTGTTCAAATACCCCGTGCAAGGGCTGGGGAGATAGCTCAGTAGAATAAGTGCTCGCTTGGCAAGCACAGGGTCCTGAGTTCAATCCCCGGTGCCATAAAAGAAACAAACAAACACCAAAAAACAAATACCCCATGCATTTAAAAAGTCCTCATTTCCAGGATACTCGATTCATTCTTCTGGTTCACAAGTGGGCGTACAGTATTTGGTCACTTAGTACTAGCTAAAGTCAAGCAACTCATTTTTATGTTAAATTTCCATTTTGTGTCCATCTGCAATCCTGGAAATCACTGCAGCTGACAGATCCCCCTTGGGGAGGTTGGAGGTGTCCACAAAGCCCACCAGGGAAGATGCTGAGTCCAGAGTGTGGTTTCTTCCTGAGGGCTTGCTTTGGTAGGTCAAGGCTGCCCATGTTTTACTTACTAATCATTAAAACTAACTGCTGATGTTTGTAGGTAGGGCAATCTTACAGAAATGGGGATTTCCAGTTTCTCTTGAAATATTTGGCAATAATCAGCCAGAGCTGGGAACTGACTGCTACCTTTCCTGGCTGTGGTTTGCGGGTCACCACGGTCCTTGTCATCCCCTAGTGCCTCTTACAAGCACCACATTTACTCATTTATTCATTCATTTACCCAGAGTGTGAGGAGCCCACAGGGCTGAAGGGACTTGAGCCTTCCTTTTCCTTCCAGATCAGATACTGGGTGCCACAACTCCAGAATCCTGTAGCCGGGAACCCCGCCTGGCTCAGAGCGAGATGGAGCCTCTTCTCAGGATTGCCCCTTTAAAGGATGTCAGCCCAGCAGATTGGCACATCTCGCCTTGACACACGGTTAAGGTAGCGGGCTACATGTGTGGGTGAAGTGTGACACCTGGCGGTGTGCACTGGCTCCTCACGGGAGCTCATGGTGCAGAGGCAACCCAGGAATGGCCCTGCCAGTGTCATGGGCTCCCAGCCTGCAAGGACTTGGGTGGGTCCTGCTGGCTTATGCTCCCCATGGCAGACACCTTAGTGAGGTGGGTGACAAAGGACTAGGGGTCACTCAGCATGGATGAAGTCAAGCCACCAGGACCACACCCAGTTGCCAGCGAAACCTTTCTTTCCTCAGCATTGTGCCGAGAATGAGCCTTTCACTAGGTGTGACGTTGAGCTTTAAGACCGACTCCGACATGTTTTGATTAAGTCATGAAACTTTCTTTCCACATCAATTTCAGATTCACACTTCAGGGACGCCTCAGAGACACCTTCCCCTTGCACAAATGGCACACATTCAAGAGAATGTGTCATTAGGTTGAATAGCTCAAAGCTGAGCTACCAAATATATAAATATTTATACTTTTAGTACAGTAATTAAAGCCAGACTTCTGGTATCCTTAGGGGGGAAAATGCCAACAAAGCACTAGAGCTGGTGGCATCGCTGAGACATCCTCTCTTGAGTTGTGTTCACTGTGTAAGATCTGCGTGAGGAGTAGGCAGTAAACAAACTGGAGACACCACTGAACTATCTGTTCTCTTACGAACAATTTCTGTCCTTGGAGGGTTGAGCTTGCCATGCCTAATTAAAAATTTTCCTGTCTTTAATGCACCCGTTTTTTATATCTTAATATTCGGAGAAGGCTTCTGTGTTATTTTAATTGTTGTACAATGTTCCTAAACTGTCCGTGTCTCTGGTAACAGATGTGGTCTTTTTCAGAGGTATCACTTACGAAACCAGCAGCTTTTTCTCTAGGGGGTGAAGAAGGGTGTTTGGAGGAGGCAGGAGGCGAGGGCTCGTCCCCTCTTCTGACCTATCTGTGCATACACTGATCACTTGCTGCAGTGTCGCACCACCCCATCTCTAGCCAGGCTTGCACCTTGTTCAGAAAAACATAGTAACAACAGCAACAGCAACAACAAAACCACCACCACCACTACCAATAGCAGCAGCAGCAGCGGCAACAACAGCAGCGGCAACAACAGCAACAACAACAGCAGCAGCAACAGCAGCAGTAACATTCCCCACGAAGGCTTCTCCAAGTCGCAACCATCTGAAGTTATCCTGTCTCACTCACAAGGAGCAGCAGCTAGGAACGAGCTCATCTCCGCGACCTGTGCAATCTCCTGGACTCGGCTTTCAGGCCTTCCCTGTGCTCGCAGAGTCACCTCGGCTGAAGTGGATTATTCTCATGCTGCTGAGGCTTTCAGGGACGACAGGGCCGCATGATCTTGGAGACCCTCCTGGTGAGAGTGTGCCGTTTACTGCAGAATGCTTCAAAAATTAAATGCCCTCGAAACACACTCCAAAGCTGAGCAGAGTAAAGTTGACAAGATCTCCGGGGAAGCGCATCTTCACGGAAGTCAGGCGACCCACAGATGCAAGAATACCTTTGTGCAGCACTGGCATATCCTCCAACAGCTTGTGTTGATCAGAACAAAATTTAATTTGCAATAATCAGTCAGCGGCAAGGGGAGCATGAAATGATGCTGGCGCACTGGCTTTGTACTTTGCAGTATATTTCCTTGTAAATCAGGTATCTTTTAATTTATCTTTAGGTTACAGAACATATAGTACAGCAAACTTTTTATTAAAAATCACTCTGCAGGGAGAGAGTTAACTGTTAACCAAGCAAGTGCTGTCTCCCTGCCGGCGTCTTGGCCGAGGCTCAGGTATAATTCACTGTGCTGGGTCAAGTGTCTGCCACGGACTCCAGGAGATGAACGGCACCTCTTAGCCAAACCTCCGTCCTCCATGAGATATGCAGCAGTCTCTCCCAGAGAGGGCTGACGGATCTTCTGACTTGGCTTTTAAGTGATTGCCCTTGCTCAAATCTAGTTTCTATAAATCTTTTTTTTTTTTTAATTTTATTTATTTTATTTATGAGAGAGAGAGAGAGAGAGAGAGAGAGAGAGAGAGAGAGAGTGGTGTGTGTGTGTGTGGCCAGCTCAGCCCACCAGGGGGCGCGGCTGGCTGGCATGTGGTGCTGGGGGATCGAACCGCGGTCCCTGATGCTTTGCCAAGCTTGTTCTAAGTAGGTGCTTTAGACCACTGAGCCATCTCTCCAGCCCTCAAATCTAGTTTCTAGAGACTCAAAGAAAAAGTGATTTTTAATTCAATGAATAAATCTAGTCATTCAGAGCCTCAGATGAGCAGGTGGCCCTTTTCTGGATTCCAGAGTGGCGTGGATCAGCACAGATGGTCCTGTTGCTGGGACTGACATTCACGAAAGCTCACTCTTTGAACATGTCAGGGTAGCGACAGTGCATGCACCAGGGAAGGGCAACTGCAACTGACCTTAGGAATCGAGCCCCAGAGCCAAGGGTCCATCTCAGCGGGGTCAGAAACTTCGTGTGGACGCCCGGGTAGGCTGCCTGTGCCCCTGCCTCAGTGGCCTAATCTGAGACAAGGAGCTTGGGTCATGTGGGATTGTTCTCCAGTTTTAGAACTGAGGAGTCAGCATGAGGGTGGGCAGGGACCGAGCAGAGATGCCCGCAGGAGGCTGGGCTGAAGGTGGCAGAGGAACATGGAGGGAGAGGCTGTTTGTGTGCTCACAGGACTCAGAAGGGTACTGCAGGGCAGGGCTGTGACCTTCATCTCCCTCAGGGTTCAGATTACCGAAACAGCGTGGGATATATACAGTATAAATCTTTTTTTTTTTTTTTGGGGGGGGGGTGAGATGATGAAGAGAAGAAAATTAGATCCTATTATGAATATGAGGGCTGACACAATGTATGTCTTCAGTGGATTCTTTTATGAAGCCAAGGAAATGGTTGTAAAGGGAATAATTGTCCCCAATTCTTCTGTTTCGTAAGTTTGGAGCTATATGAATTACGTTTTCTCAGAGTGAGCGCTGCTGTATTTTTCTAGGCAGGGTAACCGTTTATTGTTACCTTTCATCATGCTTTACAATGAAAGCTAATTTCCATTCTGGTTTCCTTATTACGGTATCAAAATACCATAGCCTTTTGTTTGTAAACACAATGAGAAGCATTTTCAAAAGGCATATTTTCCATCATTATAATCTTCCTCTTATAACTACAACTACCAAAGAGCAAAGAGCATACCTGTATTAAATTAGCCACAGGCTTAGCTAGAAATTTTTAATGGCTGCATTTGAAATTCAGGTCTCAGACTGTGTGTAGTTTTGTACTAGTGGGGTGGCAGTGTACTTTCACAGTCATAGTTATTTTGGGGACATCTTGGTGGTTTCTTTCCTGTATAATAGCAACTTTTTCCCAGTGTCCTCCCCACTTCTCACAAAAGCTTCTCACCACCAGCCCTGGACCTAGGCTGTGGCCTTAGGTACCAACCTCCACACAGTACCCTGGACCCCGGTTGTGGGCCTAGGTACCAACCTCCACAGAACACCCTGAACCCCGGCTGGGGGCCTAGGTACCAACCTCCACACAGCACCCTGGACCCCAGCTGGGGGCCTAGGTATCAACCTCCACATAGCACCCTGGACCCTGGCTGGAGGCCTAGGTACCAACCTCCACAGAACACCCTGGACCCCGGCTGGGGGACTAGGTACCAACCTCCACAGGGCACCCTGGACCCCGGCTGGGGGCCTAGGTACCAACCTCCACACAGCACCCTGG